CCAATGAGGCGAAAATTGAAATACACCAATTTGCTTGTCTTTGTATCAAATTGCACATGTTAGCCCTACCATGAGCAAAATCCACGCAAGAAGCTTCCCCTTCATGGTGGTAGAAATTCTAGAACTGTGTCAAAGTGAAACGTAAGTTTCAAATAAGACATACAAGTAGGATGCTGAAGACTCCAGCTTCAAACTTCTTGAAATCTGCTCATTTCAGTACTACCTCATTTAAGCACCTCCTAAATGTCTACAACCAAAATCCCAATTCACCCGAATCAAATGAAGCCAGTAAATGGTTCCATTATGGTACCTGGACATCAATAACAGTAAACAACCAAGAAGGCAAGCTTTAAAAAAACATCTCCCACCCCAACTCTCATTCTATCCACTCTACAAATTACCAGACAACAACAATATAAAAACTTATTCGACCCAATAAGCAACCATGAAACAATTTTTGAACCAACCAACTAGCAAGCCGTATTACTGATTAATTTTCAAGAGTGAAAAGGGCATTGATGAAAGTTACAAGGTTAACTTTGTCAATCACAGAAGAAATAATTAAAGAGGGCAACTGCTTCCAGCATAAGATGTTTCTTAGCTATTGGAAAAGCTACAACTTAGAGCTTCTCCACAAACAGTTCTTAGCTTGATTTGATACAATTGTCTCATTTCTATGACACATAAAGCATTTTTAACTTTTGCATGAACCTAACATGAAGTTTCATTTCAAGTGCTGTGAAGCGACATAGGTAAACAAAGAAAAGCGCCTTTACAACAGCAAAACTCTTACATTGCTGAAAAGGTTGTGCCAAACAAGTACTTAGAATTAAAATAGCCATATGAAAGTTCTTTCATGATCACTGCCATGAGAGAAGTTTAACCTCGTCTTGGTAGCAACACCATTATATAAAAGAAAATTAACTGAAAGATATTTCAAAGTCAGCACCATACCTTGTAATCAAAATTGACCATGCCATGCGACATGTGAGGCTCGTTGGTAAGCTGGAAAGAAGCACAGAAAAGTTAACTAACTAACTTAGACATTACAGATTGTCTGCACCAACTTTGCTAATAAAAAAGGGGATAAAGCGCTTCAACAGTCTTCCAAATCACCTGAGAATTGGCCTTCAAAGTAAGATTCTCAGATAAATCACACTTTACTCTTGCATTAAGCCTCCCATCAGTCATGATTCTCCCAAAAAGCATCAACTGCATGTTACCATATGTTTAAATGAGAGTTTAAATTCATATTGCCACAGAAAAGTATGCCAAAAAGATCAATTTCATACGACAGTTAGTTACCTTTGGATCTATAAAGTTGGCACCAAACTCATAGTGAGCAGTGGGAATTTTAATAGTTTCGGGAGATTGTGAAGGAACCTCGGTAGGTCCCATGAACACGCTGATTGTTGGTTGGCAAAGGAGTGTTACAATTCAGATCAGTATCGAAATAATAAGAATTAAACATAATGATGATGGGTGAATTGAAAGTCTGATCAGACCTGTGACTGAGTGAGAACCTCTGATTGAGTCCTTTGGTGAAATCAAAGCGCATCCCCTCAAACAGTTCCGGCTTTAAAGACACTGCATACACATACAAAATAATCTCGCCTTAGACTCTGGCACTCAAAGTGCACTTCTTTCCTTTCCAAGTAAACCCAAAAATAAAATGTCATTCCCTTTGATTTCTAAAATCGGGTAGCGCAACATGAGCCACCACAATGGTAGCTAAAAGACGTAATACGTTTGTATTTCTCCAATAATTCATAATTCAAATATAAGTTATATAACAGATTAATTCACAATAAAACTTTCATGAATTACATGTAAAAGAAAAACCCAGAAGAGCAAATGTTTAAACTTTAAATATTAACAAGAATAAACACAAATCTCCATAATTTGCACATCAAAAAACAAAGCAAGATAAACTAGAAAGATAATGAAATATGAAAATAATGGAGGAAGAGCGAGAGCGAGAACGAGAGAGAGAGAGAGAGAGAGAGAGAGAGAGAGAGAGAGAGAGACTGACTGAGAGCTTCACGGTGGATCTCCTCATAGGGAATAGGGCAAGGAAGATTCAAGTAATCCACTTTCTCATCCTCCTTCGGCTTCGGAATAGTATCAGCCGCGGCGGTTGGAGGAGGAGGAGGAACAAGGCCCGCCATTGCTTGTGCTCTGCCTTCCGTCGGCAACAATACTCGGAGAGAAGAAGAATGGCTCTCGAGGATTCCGATCAAATCAGAACGAGAAGCCTGCAACTGGAGGGTTTCGAGTGGCAAAACCTCCAAAGTCTAAAACCCTAGTGAGAGAGAGAAGCGGGTGTTTTGGGTTGAGGAACAAATGGGCCGTTGGTGGCTGCCTTTTTGGGTAAAAAAATAGGAACGCAGTAAAAAATAATGGGGCTGATTGCTATGGTAAATTTGGTATAAAAGTAACTAACTCTATTGGCATAAGAGGATCTCCAGCTTTTTTTTTTTTTTTTTTTTTTTTTTTAACAAACGAAATTATTTACATTAAAGGTAAATAAGTGGGCTTAACCTCACATTGGGCTAGTAAAAATATGGTTCAAATTCACCTTTGACAATAATCGAACATAAGACCTCTCACTTACAAATGAAAATAAATACAACTAGACCATAATACTAACTGACAAAATGACAAAGGTGACAGGAAAACAAATAATATTATCTACATGGGGTGGGGGAGTGGGCTAAGTCTCACAATGGGCTAGTAATAATGCAGTTTATATTTATATTTGGAGATAATCCAACCTTATAAGTGAAAAAAAAATATCACTAATTGTAGTACTAAGTGGTTGCTTTTCGTTTTTGGTTTTTTAATGAAAATAATTTAAAGGGCACATTTTTTGTGTTGCCCCAGGCTTCAAAAATCTCAATACCGTCCCTGCCAATTGAGCCAAAGTTTAGAGCACTTGCACTCTTAAAAAGCTGCTAGGCAATAGTCAATTTAACCTCCTAAGTGAATAATAAATGCTAAAGTCCATCTTCATTCCTAAACTGAATAACCTAGGCTATTAGTGTTAAAATATTGTTATTATTTTATTTATAAAACTATAAAAAAATATTTTTAATTTCGGATAATAAAAAAAAAATTGATTGAAAGTATTTGAAAATAATGAAATATGATATAAAGTGGAAGAACATACTTAAGTATTTATATGAAATTTTTTATAAAACATAAAATATTTATTTTTTGTATTTTTAATTAATTATTTATAACTTTTAATCGTGCTTTCGTCATATTGACGTCAACCTTGTGCCACATGGTCTAGGCCCTGGGGTAGTTGATTTTTGCCTAGGTGAGCAACTGAGCTACTTAGGGCCAAGTGAATTGGAAACGGTTAGAGAGGTTTTTTCTGAACAACCGATAGTATATATACTAAGGGAGTAGGAAGCGGGTTAAGCCTTCCGATAAGCTTGTTATAATAATGTGCTTCAAATACCTTTAACGAGAATCAAACCTAAAACCTCTCTTACAAGTAAAAAAGAATAGTACTAAGTGATATGTTAGAGGAGTTTTAGGGGATGAGATTTAATTCACTATCCTTTAGGAGATTGGTGCCTTTGTTGCACTGAACTAGTTTTATAGATTAAACTAGACTGACTTAACTTGGATCAAGCAGTATTAAAATTGTGAAACTTTCGTGGTGTCGGATTAGGACTAAATTTTGATTTTTTAAATTTAATTATAAAAACTAAATTTCACATTCTGATCTAAATAATTAAATTTAGTTCCCTTCCAAATTCTTTTTTTCTTTTACTTTTTAAATTGATGAACTTCAAGATAATCATGGTAATTCTAATATATTACAAAAAAAAAAAATAATAATTAAGTTCATCAATTTCTCTTCTTCACGCCTCTCCATCTCTCTTCATCTGCCATAGCTTTGCTAATCCCATCATCATCCCAATTATGAAAACAAATAGTTGCAGACCTGTTTTCTCCTACCAATCTGCAGATTCGAAGCAAGCCACGACGCCCACCCTCCTCCTCCACCCACGATTTAGCAACCGCGATTCCTCTTCTTCCAGCATTCTCTTCGAAGCACCCAATTCTCCCAATTCCCATATAGAGAGAGGGGGGATACTTGTTCTGGATAAAGCTCACTCAATGATCGATGGCTTTGATGAAGTCGTAGTAAGAGGAGGCGTAGTGAGAGAAAGTGAGAGAAGGCGGCGTAGTGAGGTTCTTAGCAATACCTTGCTCGGGACTAATTTAGGCGACTTAGCGAGGTCCGAAGTTCACGAGTCTAATCCATTTAACTTAGTCCTAGCCATACCAAACATGGATTGTTAGTCCTAGTTGGTCCAGAGTCCGGGCTAATCCCATTTAACTTAGTCTCTTGTCATACCAAACATAGGTTATTAGTTCTAGCTAGTCCAATCCTAGCTAAGGAGGCCAAACAAACTGAGGTCCTAAACAGTGTAAAACCCTAGTCCAATTTAGTATTTATCTACTTTCACAAGAACAAAAAAATATATTATTTGTTACGTAATACTACAGTTTAGTGATTTTTTTTTTACTTGCAAGTAAGATGTTTTAAGTTTGATCCTCGTCAATGATGAACTTGAACCACATTATTACTAGTTTATTATAATGATAAGCTCACTCACTCTCCTTAGTATAGATAATATCGTTTGTTCAGAAAAAAAAAATAAAAATAAAAAAACCTTATCTAAATTATCGTCATCACCACATCTATTTCTCATAAGGATTTCCTATCAATTACTACCACGACAATCGGAACTAATTTCACTTAAAATCATATAATATGCATCCCAATCCCGAACAAAAATGGGAACAGACTTTCGTATCGTGCGCTCCAAGCCGTAGTGGACGAGAGAAATTCATCCCCGTTCGTTGGTCGTTGGTTAGGAAAATTGACCAAAAAAATCATGTCAGAAAATAAGACTGAAAACGGCGCAAAAAAAAAAAAAAAAAAAAAAGAAGGAAAAAAGAGAAAGTAATTGACTAACGCTGGGACATGACTTTTCAACAAATGGCCGGTCCTTGTGCTGGCAACTGTTTAAGAGTGCAGAATACTTCTTAGTATTTTAATTTTCCTACATTTTACTCATTTTCCTGATTGCAATCTCTTTCTCTCTCTCACCGGAAACCATGGCTGCTCCGATGAAGTTTGTATTCGGGCTGCTAACCTTTGTCACTGTCGGAATGATCATAGGTAAAATCAAACCATCGAAGCAATTTCTGTTGTCTTGATTATATACATGCATATACATTTGATTGATTTGTGCATATGTGGATTCTGCGATTACCCAGAAAACTGTAGGAGTTTGGTCCTATGTTAGTACTTTCGATTTTCCCGTGTTTTTCGGGAACCAAACGAAAGCTCCTGTCTGGGTTTGATCTTGGTATTGGATACTTTAAGGTTTGTAATCAAACAAGTCTTCGGATTCATAATTTTACCAGCTCCGTCAGAAGCTTCCTTTGACTTGGATTCTTAGGGCAAATCGTAATGGCTCCTGGCCAAAAATGGTTTTCAAATTATAGTCAATGCTAGCATAAACCGAGCTTAGCGGCGTTCTAAGATTCATACAGCTGGCCCCACTTTGTGGGATAAGGCTTGGTTTGTTGTTGTTGTAAGTCAATACTAGCATAGTATTCGATGTAATATTTTTGAGTGAAAAATGCTTATATATTTGGTTGAGATTTATCGGATTACCCTAGCTCTGGAGTTGCTTGGGATGTGCTGCATTGATTGCTGGCTACGCGTGCCGGAAAGTATGGTATTACATAGTAGTAGCACTAAATTTGTAGAGGTATGTGTGTCTAATATGTTGGTGTCATAGTTTTGCTAAAAGAAACTCCCATTTCGGACACAGAGGGTTTAGAAGTAAGAAAGAAATGAAAGAATTTACATAAAGAAAGATTTGATATCCTTCTTCTAAACAGGAATTTGCAATAGCAGGGAGACATGTGGGCCACTGGCACCACACCATATCCTAGTACTACGAATTATGCAGAACACAGAGATGCCGTCTGGGGAATTTTCCGGCCTTTTTATTATCAACTATCTTCATTGTGTCTTTTGACAACCTCTACCTTCTATTTGCTCTGCGTTGTATTGTATTGTATTGTATAATATGCTAAGTTTAGTTTGCTATAAGCTAAGCATTTGAAGATCATCAGCACATGAATCCTTTCACTACAATGATGTTAAATTGATTGTGCTACTCTGTTTTCAATAAACAAGCATTCTACTGAATTCCTTTTTTGTTTAACTCACAGGTGCTTTGCTTCAATTGGCATTTATACGAAGATTAGAAGACTCATATGGTATCTTTTAGTTCTTTATTCTTATACAAATATATTTTCTTGTAATTCCCCGTCTTCCTTGCATGTTAAATTCATGGTTGTGATTTTGTTATGCCTTTTTGATGTATCCTTCTTCTACACTAAGTAGAAGACGTTTTGTGACACAGCCATTTGGTGAAGCTCTTACTATGTATATGTTAGAAATTCTTGGTTCCTTTTTTCTTTCCCGCTTTGCCTACTATAATCTGGATCAAGATTTTTGGTCAGATTAACATGGATCAGATTGAAAGTGTCTTTTTGACAGAATAGTGTGAATCCCTTTTCATCTAGTTATATCATTTTTCTTTGCAAAACAAAATTGTCAAGCTGGGACAACCATTACTAAGAGTTGATGCATTGGGTTGTGGATTAGTGATGCAACTCTTAATGCAGTTAAGCCATGAAATTATGGATAGATTTTAAATAAATAAAAAAAGCAATGCAACTAAAGGAGATTCGGGATAATTAAGGCTATCAGATTTTTACTGATTGACAGGTGCTCCTTGGAATCAAACTACAGCATTTACAGATATAGGCACGTTAGATTTTGTGTGAAACATGTTATCTCATTCAATCTGTAGTTCTTGACAGTCCATGGTGATTCTAGATCTAGTCATAAAAGTGACCAGCTGAGATCCTACAAGAGTATAACACTAGGTTTCGTATAAAGTTCCTCAGAGGCTTTGATTGAGGGAAACGAAAAATGTTTGCAGAAATTTTGGCATCTGTAGTTTATTCCCTTATAAAAAATATTTGACTTTTGGTTCTAATAATTTGAGTGTTTGTCTTGCATGGTTTATTCTGTCTCTAAATGTTTCTTTTTCCACCTTTGTTATGCTCATATTTCTCAGTTAAGGTATGTATCGTTGGAATTATTTCATCAATTAAATGTTTTATGGTTTTTCTCTTCTTTGGTCCATTGGACACCAATGGAACTGATATGTTTAGTTGCATAATTCTTGCAATCTTGTATTTTTAAAGCCTGTTTATTGTTGATTAAATTATTATCTAGAACAATTTCTTTGTATTGCTTTATTGTAAGTTATGTCATATTTATTTTACGGTTGTTTGCAAGTGGATATCATGCTTATTGTATCGTTAATGTGTTAGATGATTTTTGCTTTAAAATTTGGTCTTTTGTAGGCTCTGAGTTTCCATCTCCTAGAAAAGTGCGTAGAAGTCTAAATGATGGTTATCGTCAGTTGCCCGGAGGTTGGTATGGTTCTTATCATGTTTAGTTTGGTAGATAGACCACATTTGTTGCTTAAGTTACAAATATTTTTTTTAATCTAATTTGCTTTCCTCTGTTTTGAATTCTCAGGTGCTCATTGGAGCAATGATAAAGAAGCAGAAATTTTACGCCTGGGATATGTATGTTTGCAAGTTTAGCTTTAATTTTTTTATTCAAGTACTTGAGATAATCCCTGCCTGCTGGAAAAGAAGATTAAAAGTAAATATCATGCATCATTTGACGTACAGGACAATGAAAATTGGACATTTGAGTACCTTCAATTCATAATTGGGGGTAGTATGTGTGATATGCATATGACACACTTAGTGCAATCTATGTCTTAAAATAATTCGTTGTTGCTTAGGTCTATTAGGTCTGAACCTTCTAGTCATAGTCTACCGCCTGGAGTTGTACGGTGCTGTAATGATTTGTGCACGTAGAAGTGAGTATTGGTATTTAATCCAATGACAGGGTGTTGGACAAAGTTTCTGAAACAATCTAGATACAAGTACAGCTATATCTGTTATTGCAGGCAGTAATGTAGTCCAAAAAATCTTGTACAATTGTAGGTTAGTAAGGTTAATGATATTAGTAGCTTTTAAACTAGTGTCGACACCGGTTGATGGGTCTGTCATGTTTTCCAGTACCTAGAATGTTGTAGTTAACCACTTTCCCTGTGTTAATTCCCTATCTGCGTATGTCTTCAGTTTCTTATCGCAAGAAAAATAAAGGCATAACACATCTGTGTATTTCTTCAGTTTCCTATTGCAAGAAAAATAAAGGCAGAACACATCTGAGATGCATCTCTATCTCAACATGAAGCCAGACTAATATACCTCATTATAATTTCTAGCAAATAGAATTTGATTTTTCTTTTCTTATTCTCTCAATGTAGGTCAAACCTGAAGTAATCAGCTGGGAGCCTCGAATAATTGTACTTCATAAGTTCTTGAGCATGGAGGTATGCTTATATCTTATAACAGAATTGCCTCTATTCGTGTGGCATGATGTTTCTTAACTCTTACAATATTCTACCATGCCCAAGTACATGGGATGCATTAAGTTGGACCCACAAGTCAATGAAGTTCACTTAAATGAAAATACTGATTAGAACCTTTGTTGTTAGCAACCATAAGGGTCTCGTATCCACTTTCGTTCTGCAGTAAAAGAGAACACTCCACCATTTAAGTTCTAACTATTTGTAATTTTTTGTTGGACATGTGATTACCGTAATTATTTTTAAGGGTAGCTTTTCTGTAATTGTTTGCAGGAGTAACTAACTGTAATTGTCTATAGTGAAAACTGGAATTGTTTTCAGGGTTACCCAACAATAATTGTTTGGTGAGAATATGCAAGTAGTGTTTACAGTAATGGTGTAATAGGGTCATTGTGTAAGTCTGTAATCGTGCAAGTTTGTAATCGTGCAATTGTGTAATTGTTTAAGTCTGTATTTTATTTTTGAAAGGGACTGTACTAACTTAAAATGATCTTTACTAACCTTTAAAAAAACACTAACTTAAAGTGAATTGGACAAAATAATAATAATAATAAAAGAAATTTAAAATTATTTTCATTGTAGTTTGGAGGTGGGCTACATTGGATTTCAAAATATTATTTAAAACAAAAAAGTACGCTTCTTTGAAGCTCAGCAGGAAACGTACTTGGATGTAATTGTGTTGGCTCGTGATTCTGTGCGTGTCAAATTGTTGGCGGGGGAAGATAAAAAAAAGAACAGAACCGGGTAGTAAAGACATAATGAAGTAATGAAAAGGGGGGTAATGATTAATGACCCCAAAAAGTATTAGTACCATAGTTAGAATTCCCAAGTTCTGATAGAATTTTCGGTAATTGCTTATTAGTCTTAAGCTGTCAATTGCTGGCTGATCTATGTTGTTTGGTAGCACATTAAATTTGACTTCTGGTGCAATTATGAGGTTCTTGCATTATTATTGAGCAGCTTTGGTTTTTTCTTCTAAAAAGAAGCTCCTTTATATAGTTAATTGAAAGTGAAAGTTTTTATGGCCATTTCAGGAATGTGACTACCTTAGAACTCTTGCCTCCCCTCGCCTTCAAGTCTCCACTGTAGTGGACGTAAGAACAGGAAAGGTACGCAGGATGCCCTACGAATTATCATACACCTCGGTATCAGATAACTCTCTATCTTAGGGCATGACTTCACTCAATTTCACGGGCTTACTTGTTAGTCTTTTTTCCAGTTTTATGCATGCTTTATTAGAATAGCCACAACTTTACTATTTTGGATAGAAAAGGACAATGCTTTGATATAGTTACGTACAATTGACTTCTGTATGATATCTTTCTGTTTATCTATTCAATAAAATGTGTTATTTGGATAGAGAACCTGATGAAAATGTCATTACTTTTCATCAACAAGATAGCAGAGTGATCTCTAAATTTCTTATGGAATCTTTTGTATATCAAACTATAATCGAATACACAGACATACATATATATATATATATTATTGTTTGATATTCTTCCTGTTCATTTAAGTGCATAATTGATCATATTATGTACCATTTTTTCAGGGAATAAAGAGTAATGTTCGCACAAGTTCTGGTATGTTCTTGAGTCCCGAAGAGAAAAAGTACCCGATGATACAGGTTAATTTTTGTTTTAAGTTCAGCTCTCTTCCATTTGGCATTCAGATTCATATTTATAATTTTATACTTCAGAAGATACTAAATGTTATTTTTGTTTTCTTAAAGGTTCCAAGTTCAGGGTGTTTATTCATTATTTGATTTGAATATTTTGTTTATCATTGTTGGTCTGTAGGCTAGTTTTAAATTCATACCTTCATCCTGTGAATAATATACAAATCTCATTTCTTATTGGAAAAGCATCCAAATTGCGATCTTCTTTTGTGTGTTCGTTTTATCTTTTTCAAATTCACCGACTACAGCATACACGCTTATTCATTTGTGATGTATGTAGAACGTACAATGATGTTATGACGAGGAAGTTTTAAGCATTAAGATGGAAATTAAATTTAGTCATTTTTGCGTTGTTCAAAATGGAGGCAGTTAAAAAAAATCTTGTTGAATGTAAAGGAATGCTATCACAAGCTCTTAATTTTTTAATCTTGATAGTCGGTTCTAATTTCTAAATGGATGCATAAGGCCTTACATAATTTGTTCCAGGAGCGTTTCTCTTGGTATCCAAGAGCCCTTTTTGTACCAAAGTGGCGACTATTTAACATGACCATACAACAATGAGCAATTGACAAGAAATCCAGAGGTTTCTGTGTACATATGATATCTGGGCCTCATTCTTTGAGGAGTACCAGTGAGTTCTTGGGATGAAGATATGGAAGTTGTTGTTTTATATGATTGATCTGCCAAAAACTTGAACAATTCGTATGAATAACATCCACAGCCTCTGCCCGCCAACACATATTACTTGGGAAACCCTCCATATGTGTCAGGCATTTGTTTCCTTGTGTGCATATGTGTGTGTGTGTGAAGTATCTGTGATGTCCACTTTTCAGCATTTAGGTCACCATTGTTCTTTGTGGTAAAGCAGAAAACAGAACTCCATCTAACTGTCCTCTTTTTCTATTTCGTCATTAGGCAATTGAAAAGCGTATTGCTGTGTTTTCTCAAGTGCCAATAGAAAATGGGGAGCTCATTCAAGTTTTAAGGTGGGTATAAGATGTGGTAAGTTTGATGAAAATGTTGAGCAATATATTTAGTAACAAGACTAACATCTGGAGCAGCACAGGTACGAAAAGGATCAGTATTACAAGCCTCACCATGACTACTTCTCTGACACTGTAAGTTTCTTTACCCTGCATTTGTAAGAATTAGTATCCCGTAATTGCTGCCAATCCTTCAATTTTTTAATGTTACAACATTAGGAATCTAAATATTCGTTGATTTTTTGCTGACAGTTTAACTTGAAACGTGGTGGTCAGCGAGTAGCAACAATTCTGATGTATTTGAGTGATAATGTTGAGGGCGGAGAAACCATTTTCCCTATGGTAATCTATCTTTTGATTTGATGCTATATTTTGATGTTATCTTCGATAGGTATAGATTTTGATGCTAAAATTACAAGGGCTAAAAGAGGCAAATATACTTGCTACAATTATTTGGGAGTACTGGAACATGGTTTGGAGGGGAGAACAGGGTACGGTGCTGTGTGCACCAAGGTGTTCACTTTGCTTATGAATTGTTTATTCAGGGCATTTTATCAAGCATCTTTCTGGAAAGAGAAGTTTACTGTACCTGACATTGTTACTTTTATTTTTTTATATTACATCAGGGACTTAAAAACGTGGGATTTAAGTATATAATTATGCAAATCATTAGTTGTCTTTCGATCTATTTCTTTTGTAGTCTGTCTTTCTACCGTCAGTTTTGCACGTAATGCATGTAGAATATCGCATTGCCAATCTATGTTTTAACTTGTGTGGAATTTCAGGCTAGTTCAGGTAAATGTACCTGCGGTGGAAGAGCTGTCACAGGTTTGTCTGTGAAGCCAACTAAAGGGGATGCAGTACTTTTTTGGAGCATGGTAAGGTTCCTTAATTTCTTATACTATTTTCCGGGTGTGCCTTCGGTCCCTTGACCATTTTTAAGATATGTAAAATTCTATGTTTGCATTGCTGAAAACGAAATGATAGTTTGCCTTTAGTACAGTTGTGAAATGCAATTTCGAAGTTTCTAGCTTTCTAACAGAGTCTGGCCTCTTATCCATGTGAATTTTATTTTACCTGCGTCTTTCAGAATCTTGAAGGAAAGAGGATCCGACGAGCATACATGGAGGGTGTGAGGTACTATCCGGGGAAAAGTGGTCGGCTACAAAATGGATGAGGCAAAAACGTACCTCTTAGATTGTAAGAAGTTTGGAGATTTTACTAGGGGGTTTACAACATGTGTAGCTTAGTGATCCTGTAGTGTTTAGGTACAGCAGATTCCGAAACCAAGATGAACATGAAGCATATCAGCTCGTCGGAAATGTGATACATCGACAGCAGCATCATACAGCCTCAGCGTAGGTAGTGGTGGTATTACCCATCAGAATCTAATAGTTGAGTTGAACCCTCTCTGTATCGATCTTAGAAAGCGAAAAATGTGACTTATGATGTCGAATACCTGCTGCAGAAAAGAGCTCTGACGATAATCTGTGTTGTTGAGTTACCAAATAAAGTACTTTTATGAAAATCTTCTTTTGCCTTTTATTTATTTTGTATGCATGAGACATGTATGGCATGACATTTAGGATTTGTTTGGAAAGTGTTTTTAAAATGACTGAAATTGCTTTTGGTGAAAGTGTTTTTGGGTTCCAAAAGCATTTTAGTGCTTCATGCAAGCAACATTAGTTATGTGCTTCTTGCATGAAGCACTTCAAATACTTTTTCAAGATTCATTTGCATTTTTACTAAGAATTGGTTCCAAAACCATTCTCATTAAAAGCGCTTTCAAACATTTTAAAAATACTTCCAAACGATTCTTTATATTTACAGTTCTCAGTAGGGTGGCCTTTCATCTTCTGCTGGAATGTCAAGGAATTTTGGTTTCCCAAAAAATGGATGAAACATATATTCCTTATCTCAAGCAAAGGAAAATTAATTCCATACTTAAATAGAGCTAAAGAGAAATATTGAGACAAAAGTAGGCATTTTCTTGGCAGATTATACAAGGTCTCACCGGGCGTGTCAAAAATATGTTGAAGTCTCAAAATCCGTTTGCCAAGGACCTCGAGACTTATTTCAATACAATTGTGGATCGATAAGGGTACGCGTTTAGGTCGAGGGTTATGGTGTTTTGTCTTTCAAACAAGTGTTGTTCGGGATGGAACATGAGATTTAGTGATTAGTATGGTGAGAATAGATGAAAAATTGCATCTCAAACAAATTAATAAGTAATGGAGATCTAAATGATTACTACTCCTATATTAAACTATGAATATTCTTATTGAATTAAATTTATGCTACATATATCGAGGGAAGTTTTTTTTTATTTTTTTATTTTTAAGTACCCTTTCACTTATATAATGATACATTGTGTACCATTGCGTATTTCAAGTACATTGAAAAAACTCTCGTTTACGAGGGATTTGAAAGTATAAAGAGAATTTATACTCGATTATTAAAAATGCACTACAAAAATACTACCAGCGAACTACTCAAACGATACAAAGCCACTATTAAAACACTGAAATGAATTATTCTTTTAATGTGTTATTTGAAAGTTCTCTCACATGTATTGCGTTTTATTCTCATGTTCCTCTATCTAATTTGTGTACTGCATTACAAAGAAATATAGCCTAAACGCTAAGAACTTTAAATTCCCTCATCCAAGCTCACCATGGGTGAATTGACCACACTAGACACGTACGAGTGCAAAGTTATAGTCAAGTCACGCTATATTGCACCTGCTGAATTTTGATTTGAGGTTAAAGTAGTTATTTGACATTTAATATTGTTGCAGGGTTAAATTTTAAATCTACAAAATTGGGATGAATTTGTTTTGGACGTAAAATTCAAGAGCACCTTATATAAAACTGATTCATCGTTATATTCATTTTATATTCAAAAATTTAAAATTGACATCGTATTATTACTAGAATATCAGAACGACGGTAAATCCATCGTATTATTATACTTATTACCAGAATAACAGAATAACAATGAATTGGTTGAGTCGTATTGTTATCGGATGGCACGGTGGTTGAGTAATTTTCCTTGTAGTTGTTGACATGTTTTCCCTACTTTTGCCATCACATTCTCTCTTCTATCCACCCACCAGTCTTCGGTATCACGTCAGGCTGATATACAACTACAAACAAATAAATAATTCAATATTTCAGCCATTTCCAGCTTTCTTTTTTTATTTTGTTTTTCTCAGGAGCAGAGAGACGAAGAAAGAAAAATTAAAATTAAAAATTAAAAAAACAATTGAAAAAGTAAATAAATCAATTCTCTTCCCTTTCTTTTCTCCCTCGCTCGACATTGGATTGATTGAATTGGGGTTGATAGCTTGGATTAAAAATCACAAAGTGTTGGAGGAGGAAGAGGAGATTGAATCTTCGAGTGGTGGTGGTGTCCAATGGCAATGGCGTCGGGTCTCCTCCGCCTTGTGTTTCTGTTATCTCTGATTGCTCTTTCTTTGGCCGTGGTGAAAAGGACATGGTTTTGGATGTGGATTCCACCCCCGACACTCCTTCCTGCAGCAACCCTTACCTAATGGTAAAATTCCCTTCTTTTTTCGTACATTTTTGCATTTTTTATTTCAAGAAATTGAGTTCTTAATTTTGTTAAATGGGGATTCAATTTTATGAGAAAATGCATGTTCTTTTTTTTTTTTTTTTTTTGGGGGGTTTTTTTGCTGAGAATTTAAATTACATTGAGTTGGGATTTTTCTGGAATTTAATTTGATACTGTCATTGTTTTCCTGCTAAAAACCTTTTTTTACTGGTTTATCTAATCTCTCAGGCAAAGGTTAAGAATTGGGTTAATGGCCATGAAGGAGAAACTATTGAAGGGGCAGGTGCAAAGTTTGGGGCTTTATTGCCTTCCAAAGAAGAAAAAGCCGTCAAATTGCCCGTTGTTATCTCGAATCCCTTAAATGGTTGTTCAGCGTCATCTTCGAAGGTGTAACTTCGTTTTTTACCTTCTTAAATGGAAGCTTAATTTGTTTTGTTGTCACTTTAAATGTGGACTGAAATCATCTCATCTAAACACTTAAAATGTAGAAGCAAAGTGTGCCTTGAGGTTCTAGGATATGATCAAGCATCACTGTCTCTTTGGAGTTCACTGTATAAGATAAACCCATATTTGGTTTTCTGAAGTATTTACAGTCCCTTTTTCCTCTTTGCAGTTATCTGGAGCTATTGCCTTGTCCACTCGTGGTGATTGTGACTTCTCCATAAAGGCAGAAGTTGCACAGTCAGGAGGTGCTAAGGCGCTCGTGGTGATAAATAATGAAGAAGGTTGAAATCTCAATGCACTTACCACATCCCATTGTGATTTTATAGTTTCCTTGGCTAGGGTTCCTGTTTTGTTGTGAGACAAATTATTATGTGTTGGGACTTGCAAGTGAACTTGTGTCTGTTGGCAAGTTTAGGGACTTGATGCAACACAGGAAAGACCTGCAGCACACTCTTTTTCCCCTTAAATACTAAATTCTAACGTTTTCTCCCTATTGTTTCAGATCTTGCCAAGATGGCTTGTCCTGATAATAGCACTTCTTTGAATATTTCAATTTTTGTCGTAATGGTTCCGAAGTCAGATGGAGAAGCTCTCAAGAAATCTATTGAAGATGGAAAGAAAGGTCAACTTCTGATGTTTACTGTTTCGTCAAATTCTTTACTTCCTTGAATGTGATTAATAGTAATAATATAACGTAATAGGAAGATAGCATGCTGATGTGGGACAGTTTGGGAGGTCTGATTTAGGGCTTTTATAAAGGGCATTTCATAGAAAAAGGGCTTGAATTAATTGAAGTTTCAGAGGCAGAACAGATGATAGATAGCTTTTTCAGGCGTCAGTTGAATTAGGGTTTTCAAGGTTGGACATATAGGTTTCCATATATATAGATTAAGAGTTTGCTTTCCATCTTTGTTTACATCCATAGGTTAGCTAATGTGCTTGCATTTTTCAATTCTAAAGTTGATTTGATGTGATAATATATGGATAATTCTATTAACTTATTGCAGTGGAGCTTCTATTATATTCTCCCAAGCGTCCAGTGGTGGACTACTCAGTTGTGTTCCTGTGGCTGATGGCTGTTGGAACAATAATAGTTGCCTCATTTTGGTCAAAGATTACTGCTCCTGAGAAGTCTGATGAGAATTATAATGAACTAGCAGAAAAGGTTTGTACATGCAAGCCTCAATTCACTGTCTTCACATTACTTGTTTGTTCTCTAAATGCTTTTCTCGTATATATGTCTTAATTTTAATTCACTTGAACGTTTTTTTTACATGAAATATTGTGTGGTTATCAGGGCTGCATATTTCATTATGAAAGGAAATATTGGTGGATGTTTTGATATTGGTGACTGTCAACACAACGGATAATGATTGAATTCACTTTCACTGAAGTTTCATTCAAAACTTTCATTTTCAAAGAAAATATACCTCAACCTGTTGACAGTCACTGATATTGATATGGAAACCGAAACATCCTCCATAATTTGAGTAGAGATATTTCCATCACGGCTGATATTTTCTTCTCAGCCCTCCTGTTACTTTATAATGTGTTGTAGTTATGGGAAATAGTATTTATATCATCTTTGATTGGATAGGAATCTAATGCTGGAACAGCCAAAGATGATTCTGAGGACGAAGTCATGAATCTTAGTGTGGCAGGCGCTGTGTGTTTCGTCATAACAGCATCCACTTTTCTGTTGCTACTATATTTCTTTATGTCTACTTGGTTTATCTGGGTGCTGATTGTACTTTTCTGCATTGGTGGTATTGAGGTACAGTGATTAATTCTACTATTTATTCTTTTATTTATTAATTTGCTTGCAAAGTAAACAAAATTGACTATAAACAGAGTTCATGGCAGTTTTTGTACCTATATGGGAATTAAACTGAATAGAACTGTGCATTACAATCTAAAGAATGCTAAAGAATGCATTTTTTTTAAATAAGAAACAACTTTTATTAATAAAAACTAATTCATACAAATTAAGGACAAGATGTCAACTAACCTAAAATCCTACTAACAACATTAAATAGGAAACTAGAAGCATACCAGTAATATTAAGAAAGTTATGGATGTCCTTATTGTAAGAAAGTTATGGACATCCTTCCCAGGTCTACCCATAATGTTTTTCAACGATTGGAACCATCTATATCTTAGATCATCATTTCAACACTGTAAAAAATATCCAAATCCTAAAGTGTTTGGTCATCTAAAATGTGCAAAGCAACATGGCTTGCTACATAAAGCTGAGATGAAATTGTGGATAATCAAACAGCTAAACATTTTCTGATATAACTGATTTTTGGCATGGATAATCCTTGAATGAGAATCTAAAAACTGAATGGTTTCCATCATTGAATCACATCCTGGAAATAGGATGTCCATAACTTTCTTAAATGAGGACATCCTTTTGAATTGTTCTCTTAAATGTGTTTGATCTGCTACTCGTGAATCTTCTGTCAGTTGACTTGTGTGTCATACTAGCTGATGTATCTTTTGTTTTCAGGGAATGCATAATTGTGTTCTGAGCCTGATTTTGAGGTACATTTGATATTATTTTTCCTGTTTCTACTGAACCTATTACCCATGTTCCTTAATGTCTTTATTTACTTGTTGAATAGAAAATGGAGAAGTGGTGGACAGAAGACGATAACTTTGCCTCTTCTGGATGAGGTTTCTATTCTCTCGCTTGTTGTATTGGCTTTCTGTGCGGCATTTGCAGTTTTCTGGGTTGTTACCCGGCGGGCATCATATTCATGGATTGGCCAAGATGTTCTTGTAAGTTTCGTGTTTTGATATGTGTGCTAGGCTGAGTATACTATGCATTCAGCAAATTTATGCAGTTTCAGAAATTTGAACTTTTTTTTTTCAAATTCTGAATACTTGGTAACAGAGTAATTGGAGATGTTCTATTGTAATATCTTAGAACATTTCTAATGGTCATACCTGAAAGAAAGTTCTTACTTACCTTCAAAATTGAATTGCTGGGGGTCATGCATACAGTATAGCAAATTGGAAAAAATCTATTTCTTGCTTATATTTTTTGTTAAGCTAGTCACCCAAATAGCCAACCCCACTTAGTGGGATAAGGCTTTGTTGTTGTTGTAAGCTAGTCACCCAAAGATCTTCTATCAACCTAAGTTGAGCGGTTTGAGGGTTCTGTATGGACTGCTGATATAATATTGCAAAGAAACCTAAAAATTTATGACGTTTGTGCCATATCGTTATCATTATTCTACCATTTTTAATCTTTGGGTTTTTCTCTACATGATTTTCTACATCCGTCTATCCTTTTGTTCATATCAGCGAGTTAAAATTATAATTTTTTGACAGGGTATCTGCTTGATGATAACGGTCTTGCAAATTGCTCGATTGCCTAATATAAAGGTACCAGTTCTTTCTTTCATTTAATTAATGTATCAAGTTTTTGTCTCATAATTCTAACATGTGTTTTTCTCTCATAATTCTAACGTATGTTTTTGTCTCATAATTCTAACAAGTGTTTTTGTCGCATAATTCTGACATGTCTCAGGTTGCTACCGTACTACTTTGTTGTGCATTTGTCTATGATATCTTTTGGGTATTCCTGTCACCCTTAATATTCAAAGATAGTGTCATGGTTACGGTACGTTCTGATCTCAGCTTCTTTTTCTTCTTTTTTTCTCAGTTTATTAGATACCTTGTATCGAAAAGTGCATAGGTTTTCGTCTGAAATGCATCGATTGGAGTATTGAGGTGTATTGCATGTGTTTATTTGATGAAGGCTCACTGTTGTTCAAAATGATTCTACATATGTTATTGATGGACACCTAGTCCTTTTTATTTGTAACTCATTTTTTTTCTTATTCAATATTTTCTGATATTTTAAAAAGAATTAAGAAATAATACAATTTTGATTTTTTCATCTCAGAAAGTCTTTACTGAAAGAGTGTTGAGTGTTTGAACAAGTATGCTTATACGTGTATACTCCTTCATGTTGATTTTTAGTTGTCCATTGTCCAATCATATGCAAATACATATATCCCTAATTTGTGTTCATTTATTTCTTTTCGTTACACATGAAACCTACATCAACTGTACTAATAAAACCTGGGCTGGAACATTGATAGCGAAAAGATAAGGACAGGGTTTCAAGCTGTTAGTCATACTTTTAGATTTTTGCAACCCACCTTGCCATCACAATCTGTCAAAAATATGATGTGTAATTTGTGGATGAAATGGTAATAGAAACAAATAAATATACCTACATGTGGAGTTTTGACATCCATTTTATATTTTTTTCATAAATTTATAACTATAAAATTACAGTAGTTAGCATACTAATGTTGTAATGCATAAAAGTAGTAATTTTAAAATGTTATTAGCAGTCTAGGTGGTGGTCCAGTGTTAAGGTGTAAAGATTATTAGTTGTCTAACTTCAGCTTGACTATGCCCAGCTGTCCACCTGGTAAATAGCCTGGTCATTTGCCAAACTGGGAGAGTAGATCCCTTCAAAAGGTTTGACTCATTGGCTTGTTTGAATCTTAAGACGCAAGGAGTCTTTGTGTGTCTTTACATACGTAGAGGGCATATGTACATCGACATGTATTTCTGTAGGTAATAAAAGCATTGCTTATATCATGGCAATTTTCCCCAACCTCAGGAAAATACTTGTTCTGGTTCACATCCATGTTTCGTCAGAAATAATTAGTCCTTCTATTTTCTGGGCTCAGTTTTAGTAATGTGTTATGGTCAATGAATTCACCAACAAAAGTATGCAAGCATAAATGTGCCTGACATCTTTGGCTTATGTCCCATGATCCCCGTTTAAGTAAATCTTGTGTGTGCATGTATGATGCTTGTGTATCGATATCATGTACATGTTGGGAAATTGATTCATGGATGTGAGATGTGCTTTACTAGAGTATTAGCTTGTACACTTTAGCCCTTTTTTTTTTTTGTTTGGAAATCCTCATTTAAAATTCTATTAGAGAAACTAAAATGTTACAATTTGCTTTTGCTTATAGGTTGCTAAGGGTGACAGCAGTGGTGAAGCCCTACCAATGCTTTTGAGAATCCCTCGCTTTTTTGACCCCTGGGGTGGTGTGAATATGATTGGCTTCGGGGACGTTCTGTTTCCTGGTTTGCTTATTGTATTTACTTACAGGTACTGACTTCTTTCAGTTAATGTCTCTATTTTTTAAAGAGATAGTACAACATTTCCTTTTTGGATTAAGTTCTTGAGCTAGTTGATTAATTGAAAAGAAGTCCTTAGTTAAATATGATTCTCTCCGGATTAAATGAGGTTTTAATTAGTATATAACATATGTTCCCAGATCCCCATACCACAATTAACAGTTATTACACTCAGAAGTGCACCTAACCTATCAATTTTCATACATTTGCATATTTAGAAAGCATACGAAAATCGTGTACGAACTCAAGGGAGGGATGTTTTATGTGAAAATTTCAATTATGTTGCATCATGGTAATGCACCTGTCTTTGGGATAGATACATTGTCATGATGGTGAACAATTGGATTATGAATGGGAAATCAGCTCCAACATTGATTTTTTATCTGTATCAGAACTCTCTCGCTCCCTCGACAATGAAAGAGGAAACTTAACGCCTTTCACATATATATTTCTTGTTATCAAGTCCTATAATTTTTCCTTAGTCGTCTATGTAATGAAGTCCAGACGAGACATTATATGGAACACTTTGGCTGATTTTGGTTCCAGGCAATAGAGGGTTGGGGTGAGAGATTAAAGATAACGTGATTCCTTTCTCTGTTATTTGCATGCTGGACTCATGCTTTGCTCAGTTTCTGCTGATGAACCCAAAAGGTCCATATAAAAATTGTTGCTGGATGGCCAAAATACTTAAAGTCAATTGGGTGATATATTGATAATGAATGCCATACAAATATTGAACTTGAGTGTTAAATTGTTATTGATTTTCTATTTCTGAGTATTTTGTTTTACATTTGATTTTCTGTATATCTTTCCCCCGTTTTTGATCTTTTCCTGGTTTGGCTGTCTCAGGTTTGACAAAGAAAATAAGAAGAGTGCGTTTAACGGATATTTTCCGTGGTTGTTAATTGGCTATGGAATTGGTGAGTGCTCTTGCAACATCTAATTTGTTTTTATTTAAAAAAATAAAAAATTCTTTCCCCTCCTACGATATACATGAATTACAAAAATTATGCCTACCTTGCTCGGGGAAAGCATTGTGTTATATATTTTCATTTTCTGCTCTGTCATGGTAAAATCCATTTCGCGTTTGTTTATATAAGATTGTAAGTTCTTGCTCATAAATCAAGTGTATTTATTTCATTTCCTTTTAATAGCAGACTGCAGCATGATCGAACTAAACATGTTCATATTGTCTTCATGTGGTACTTATGGAACGTTCTTCCTTTTCCAGGACTCGGTCTTACTTACCTGGGTTTGTATCTCATGAATGGCAACGGTCAGCCTGCACTCCTATATCTTGTTCCATGTACACTAGGTAATCTCCGGCGCATTGATCTTACATCTTCTGTTTGGTTTTCTGGACGCGTTTTTCCAATTTTAGGCCGATAAAATTTGCAGATGTTTTACTTTGCCTTCGTATTCCTTCTCTGGTCACCAGGTGTTACAGTGATTTTGGGACTGATAAGGCACGAGCTGAAACAACTCTGGGATTACGGCGCAGAGGTATCTCCATCGAGCGTTGAACCATCCGTAGACGCCAGTAGATCGGTCTGAAGGCCCCGTTTGTATGTACATTATTGGAGATGATGCTCGTCTTCTCCATAAAAGCTTATGGTATAAGAGGTTCATTTGTTTATTTTGTACAAGAATTATGCTCAACTCAAATGCATTCATGTATATATTATCTAAGAGTTCATAGTAAAACTCAAAAATATATTTTATACCTTTGGATATTTAACGTGAGACTTAAAATTGCCAATTAATTTCGTAAATTGTGTTGATGCATCAGCACATTTGGACGACGAATCATTTTAAGAACAATTTTTTGGCTTCACAAAATTGTGAAGGAATTTCTTTACAAATTAATGCGGAACCAAAGTGTTGTTCAGTTATTGAAACCATTCATATTATAATTCACTATACAAAAATCAATTTTGCAATGAATTATAAATTTTGAGGTTAGAATAGATGGTTTGAGTTGGTAGGCCGTTTATCTTTTTGTTTATGTTTGACTAACTAAACGGTCTCCAGTTTTAATTAATTTCTCCCTAATTATTTTAGAATCCATCAACCAAGCCAAAAGTGCCCAAAAATTATTTCATCAATTCTCATATTCCCTACAAGGTATTTACTCCATAACCTTCAAAGCATTCCATATAAATTGAGTTAATTGGCCAATTAATGGATTTATTACATAATTAATCCATTAATTGACAAATAACTCACCCATTACACCCCCAAAAACACCCAAAGGCCGGCCACTCTCTCTCCCAAATAAGGCCGGCCATGCTCTATAAATTGGACCCCATTTTCTCTAAAAAGTTAAGTCCACATTCTTGCAAGACTCCAAATACTCTCTAAACACTTTTCTCTCTAAATTATAACTTTGGCATCGGAGGTTCTTTGACCAAAGCCCCCCTCCATTCATCGTGGGTTCGTGAGGCTCTTGGTCTTGACCCTAAGGTGTTACTTGTTTTGTAGGTGCAATTTTGTCCAAGAAGGAGGCGAAAATTTGCATCCACAAATTGGTGCTTTCATTGAAAGTTAAGTCTCACACTCGTAAAAGACTCTCAAAAATACAATGATAGAAATTTAGAAAATTCAACGAATGAAAATTTCAACATTCAAGAGATGGGACCACGACAATCCACGAGGCTAAATGTGACAAAAGGTGAAGCGGCACCACCACCACGAGTTTCCACCATACGAACCAACGCAGTGGCTACCACGGTAACCAGCTGTGGCGAGGTCCATGGTGTCACCACCATGGCCCAAGCCGTGCCATCCAAGGTGGTTCACAACACTAAGGCCACGACCCAAGCTATGTCACTCCATGCCCAACACGAGCCCAACACGTTGCCAAGCCGAGTACCCACGTGCATCATACGCTGAGCAGCCCACTCCCATGGCCTAGCCTGCTCCTGCCGAGCAACCCACTCTCATGGCCCAGCTTGCTCTCACTGAGCAGCCCACTCTCGTGGCCCAGCATGCTCCTGTGGCCCAGCCTGCTCCCGCGACATTTCAAGTAGCCCAAATCGGCCCAAGACTATCTTAACCATCCGGACCAACCATTGAGCCGGGGGCATTTTCACCACGTTTCTCCCAGATTTGGCAATTCCCAATTCAAATCTCGTGCCTGGAGCATACCACACTTCCACTGCTTAAGGAAGCATACTCCTTCCAAGTTCTTCCAATCCAAATGGCGAGCAACACCTGTCTTGACAAGTCATAGAGTTGACGAGCGCCCTTGCACAACAAACAACCTTGGTGAATCAACTCTTGCAACGCACCGAGATCCAATGTGCCCCTGATGAGGTGTCCCGAAGAAGGACAAGGGCAGACGAATATCTCCACCAGCGTCCCGACAAGCAGCCACTTAACCAATCACTAACAGAGCGTTCTAACAGAGTACACTCCCGACTGGACTTCCGAGATAGCATATACTTCCATCTTAGAGTGTGGAGGAGTGTGCACTTTCAGTTAGGCCCACGGACAAACATACACTCACGATAGGGGCCACATTCTGATAATTAACATGAGTAACCTTCCAAGTGAAGTGTTCATTCGCGACAAGACCCACAAAGAGCATCTTCCACCTCACATCAGAGTAGGCAACATAGCGGACTGAGAGAAACAGTTTCTCAATTCAACTCAAGTTCAACCAGCAGCTTGCGAGTTGCCCGCTCGCCTGCTATGAACATACCATACCCACCACAGCTGCGACATAAACGAGCTGAACACATGGAAGAGCATCCTAGACCAAAAGGTCACGACCCGGGGCAGCTGAGAGCTCTACCACCCCCAACAAAGGCAAATTCAAGAAGAAGTAGAAAGGTTCCTGACTGAGCGACTGCGTAATTTCCTGCACAACGAAGCTATTGACAAGGCGCTTCGATGAGACATGACCAACATGAGCGAGTCATCTTTTAATGACAAGGTCGAGCAGATGAGACTACCCCATATAGATTGCTGGATATAAAGACTACTTATGTTCTGACAAATGTAGTAGCTCAGCCCAATGGCACGCCGGGGGCAGATAAGTACCAGAAGGACACACCAGCCCAACTACCAAGAACCGGGGGCAGGCTAAGGATTATTCGGTTGTCCCAGTAGTCCAGCTTTCCTCAGTTGCACTCACGACAATGATTTCCATGCTCTCAAATGCAAGAGGATAAACTAATTGCTTTCCAGTGCGAGAGGGTAAACCAATTCCCCAACACCCATATGGGTCTGCTCTCCAATGCGAGAGGATAAACTAATTGCTCTCCAGTGCGAGAGGGTAAACCAATTCCTGGACACCTATATGGGTCTGCTCTCCAGTACGAGAGGGTAAACCAATTCCCTAACACCCATATGGGTCTGCTCTCCAGTGCGAAAGGATAAACTAATTGCTCTCCAGTGCGAGAAGGTAAACCAATTCCCCGACACCTATATGGATCTGTTCTCCAGTACGAGAGGATAAACTAATTGCTCTCTAGTGTGAGAAGGTAAACCAATTCCCCGACACCCATCTGGGTAAACTCTCCAGTGCGAGAAAGCCACATAGTTCAAAAGATCGAATGCTTGAAGATCAATTAGGCAACAAATGGTTAGGGGGTAGCAACCACTTTTACACTTAACATTTCGCTCATCCGACACTTCATCTTCAACAACTCCGATCTTGGCAGCTCCATCCTTGATTGCTCCATCTACGGCAGCTGAGAAATCAAGCTTAAGCAGTCTCGTCATTTTTGGCAAGCAGCCCAGACATGGCAGCCCAAATTGTTGCCCATGCCATGCCACTTCCTCGGCCAATGCCGAGCCAATCCTTGGCTTCAATCAAGTTGAGCAGCACAAACAATGGCCCCTGCCACACCACCTCCTTGGCTCATGCCAAGCCGACTCCTGGCCCCTATCAGCCGACGTGCCGCATCACCCTAACGGCTGCACGGCGACAACATTATCCAAGAAGAAGACAAGGAAAATTAAATTTTTTACATTGGTGCGGCACGAAGACGAAGCAAGCAACGAAAGATGATCTTTTGCACGGGCAAGATGTAGAAGATTGCTAGAGGAGGGGGGAACAAATATCCTCTAAGCTTTCTCTCTCTTGTAGGGTAGAATAAATCGCTCTCCAAAGTTGATTTAACAACCCACTTAAGGTGGACTTAAATAGACTTTGAGAGGAATTTATTTCCTTTTCCTAGAAGGATCTAATTTCATATTAAAGAGGGAATCTACATCAAAATAGGAAGCAATCCTAAGTTTCCTAAAGCAAGATATCTACACCTGCTGCCCTTTCCTACGAGCAACCCAGCAGGTGTAGGGGTATTTGTGGAACCAAAAATAGCAAGAGGCGACATGTGGATTTTTGGGTAAAAAGGGACAAAATTACCCTCGAGGCACACCAGGTTTCCTACACGCGAGCAGCGGGCAAGCATCCCTTAACCAAGCCAAAAGTGCCCAAAATAGGTAACAAATTCAAAATTATTTCATCCATTCTCATCTTATATTCCCTACAAGGTATTTACTCCATAACCTTCAAAATATTCCATATAAATTGAGTTAATTGGCCAATTAATGGATTTATTACCTAATTAATCCATTAATTGCTAATAAATCACGCATTACACCCCAAAAAACATCCAAATGCCAGCCACTCTCTCTCCCAAAGAGGGCCGACCATGCTCTATAAATTGGACCCCATTTTCTCTAAAAAGCTAAGTCCACACTCTTGCAAAACTCCAAAAACTCTCTAAACACTTTTCTCTCTAAATTCTAACTTTGGCATCGGAGGTTCTTCGGCCAAAGTCCCTAATGTGTTAATTGTTTTGTAGGTGCAATTTTGTCCAAGAAGAAGGAGGCGAAAATTTACATCCACACTCGTGAAATTTTGATGGGAGATATTCCTCACTCGCTGGAGCCTATTAGCTAAATAAATTCCATTTCTCTCGAAAACCATACAAAAAAACTAGAGTTATATGTGAAAAATGTGACTGCAATCTTAATTATACATTCCATAATTTGAACGTAACCACTTATGTGAGAACCGAGATTTGTATTCAAAGAGGCTATAAAAAAAAAAGAAAAAGAAAACCGAGATTTGTATTATTAATAATATTACATATTCGGTATCGAAAACATGATGGCAAATTGAACTAGAACGACAAAAGAAACGCACACATCCAAACTATAAACATGCTTACATTACATATAGGAAAGCATATTAATTATCCAAAGTTGGGCATGATTGCACGATTAATCATATCTTAATCGTAACCAAATCATGTTTGTTTATTGCACCAGTGTGTGCGTAGCTCTGTCTAGCAATTGGCAGGATGGGGAAGCTTGCACTTGGCGGGAAGCTGTAGGGCAAGGTTAGGGTCAATCCCCAGAGAAGGCAAGACACTGGAGTTCTTGTAGGAGCAAAGGCAGCTCACGTTGGCGTGCGACAGCGCCGCGCAGCAGGCTTTTGTAGGCGGTGCCGGATTCGGAGAAGTCACAGCCGGCCTGCAAGTCATCAAACCGGTGACAGAGACGTTGCATATGTTCTGAGCATTAGCAACCTGAACAAAACCGCCATTGCCTGCAATTGCAACCAAAACCACAGCAGCCAAAACTACGACCAGCTTTTGACGAGCGCCCTCCATATCTTTTCTTATAGGAATTGTTTGGTGCGTTAAGGTTGTGGATTTTGGAGCTCCAAAGTTGTTAGGTTTTATAGGGGGAATGAGAAGCAAAG